TTTAAAAAATATTCTTCACATAGTTATTTTTTAAATTATAGGGAAAAAAATCATTAGTTTCGCTCTTTTAAAAATCTTCAGTAAGTCATACACAGAAGAAAATCAAGAGTTTCAAACTGTCGGAAAATTAACGATTGAAAAAAAAAATTTTTTTTTATGTAAAAAAAAAAGTCTTTAGATTATGCACAAGATATTATAGAAAAATTATAGTTGATACGAAACAATATAGATTGCTGGGTATTAAAAAAACTAATTTTAAGTCCCAGATTAAAATCACGCAAAAATAATAAACATAGAATGTTTGATGAAAAATAATTTTTAAATAGTCAAATAATAGTTACACATTATGTAAAAAAAAAGTTTATTTGTTGACAAAAATTGGGTGTTCAGCTTTTACAAAATACAATTACAGTTACGGATTACCGAAAAAATTACAGGTCATGCAAAGATATATCAAACGTTTGATACAAACTAGATTATTAAGATAGTTTATTTCAAATTATTAAACTGAGATGGGCACAGTCGGCCTTGGCCCTCTTAATGGGCTGTCGCGCCACTGAGTTAGTTATTTCAAATTATACAAAAACTAAAAAGATTAGATTAATAGATGAAAAAAAGTATTCTTCAGTTTGTTGCAATTCATACAATGAAAAACAAATTATTCGAGGAAAATAAAAAGTAGAATTATTGAAAGATGTTACCGACTACAGAAAGAATGTGGATTAAACAAAGAGAAGAATAACAAAAATTTTATATAAATCATGTATAAAATCTCTTGTTTTACATTTTTTTTGCATCAAAAAGTTTTTTTATTTCTTTTTCTTTTTGTATGAATTTTTAATTCAAACCTTTCTTGCATCTGATTGAACCAATTCAATCAGAGAAAATTTTTTTGCATCATTCGAAAACAATCCCCCTCATATGAGACCCAATATGTTTAAGAATCCGTATCAGGCATGAAAAATAACGTCACTGATACAGTTGTTTAGAATTCAGTGATATTTTTCAGAAAATTTCAGACTTATAGTCAATTTTTATGTATCACCAACTAGTCCTCATTAAGAGAAGTGTAAATAGTTTACAAAAATTAACTCTTAAAACAGCTATTCATAAGTTAAACACAAATATCAGGTTCAAAGTAAAACGCAAGAAGCTACAGGTGAAATAATACAATAAATACTTTATAGCGTCATCTAATATAAAAGTTGCACTAAAATTAAATGTTTTTTACACGTGCAGAAAGCGCACGTTATACAACTTGTTATTAAATAATTGTTAAAAATACTACGATAAAATATGACGAACTATTGCGTATTATTTTGCTAACTTAATATACGCACTTTCAGAAATAAACTCTCACTTTTGACAGTTCAGCAATTTTGAGCTACATTTCGTTATTTTTGAGAATTATTTCGTCACGAAATCACGTGATTTGTGACAAAACGCGAACCCTCAAATCAATGACGAAAATGTTTCCTCAATTCGAAGCCTCATCGTAGTGCATTGAGGGAGATTGTTAACTAGAATGACGAAGCTAGGGTGAGGGTAGTTTGTATATGTAAAGAAATACCCTAGCCATTCGTCTGGAGTAGTGGCAGTGGCTATGGTTACAAGGTTTAACTATTTCAAGTAAGGTTTTGGATCGGGTCGGTGAGGGAAAAGAAATCAGAAGAGAGAGAAGCTCCCCTCTTTAAAAAGCGCTATTTCTTGTTTCCATAGCAGCAGATGGCCTTAGATTTCGTGGCGAGGGGAGTTCTTTCTACAGACAATCGAAAATAAAGTGACGTCAAAAGTCGATCGTTAGTACGTTGGTTAAGGAGTATGCCTCATACTAGGAAAAACCAGAGTTCGAATCCCGCTTCGGGCATGGGTTTAGTTTACCTCTCTATCTTATATGCCCCTGTGTTGTTAAAGTGATATTGATACAGCTATATGATACCCACGACAACGTGATTATTAGAAAGGTTAAATACATTAGGCATTACGAGTTTTTTTTTTTCCTTTTTTTTTGGAAAACAATATAAAGACGAAATTTGTTTCCTCGAAAAAGTGACAATTCGCTTGGAGCATATACCAGGAAACGGTTTCGTCAAAAACGAGGAAAGTTTCGTGAAATTTGAGTATTAATTTTTTCGCCGTGAGATTTTAAAACACTTCGATTGTAATGTGTTATATTTGTTAGGGTGCATAGTTCGAAGTTCTTAGGTGCAGAATTTAGAGCATAGTATGGCAGTGAATGCTTTGTATAAAAAGTGCGACGTATTTGATGGTATTCTACAAGTGAAACTCTGAATCGCTAATTATGTTCTGCCTCCGTAATTAATTTAAAATACAGAAAAAGTTAAATTAGGTAAGCCATGAAGTTTCAATTGCCAAAAAAAGAAATTTCACAGTATCAAAACAAATTATTGGAAGAGAACTTCCCCATTGCGGAATCCTAAGTTATTGTCTCATAATTTGTTTTCATTTCGATATTTTGAACATTTCTTTTCAGTGTTTGAAAATTCATGGCTTACTTTCTGAACTCACTCTTTCTCACTTTTTCTAAATTACTTAGGGAGGTAAAAGGGAATTTGAGATAAAAAATTTCTCACGTGGTATGGCGTCATATTTGTAATTTTTAATAAAAAATAACTCTCTGATCTGCAGGACACGTTATGCAAAATTTCCATTTGAATTTATACGTTTACACTTTAATCCATCTGTTTCAATCGTTTTAATTCAGAGTGAGTAAAAGTATCGCCACCCATACATTGAAAAAACCAAATAATACAAAAAAATGATTAAAATTATATCAAAATTTTGACTTCGCATGGTTAAAAAATTGGAATAATTCGTTTTAAGTTTAAAGTAAGTAATAAATTTTTATGAAAAATAAGAAGTTTGTAAAAGTATCAAAATTGACGAAAAATCTAATTTTTAATAAAATCTAATCTAATTTGTCTAATCGAAATCTAATTTGTAAAAATAATACATTTATAAAATTAACATATAAAAATTTTATATTATTCATACTTTACTCCTAATACGAAATCAAAATCTACAATTTCTAGCATGAAATGATGCTAATTTTGAGTTTATATAACTAAGATAGAACAGGAAGCGTAGCAAAATCTCCCAACAAAAAATAAGCACCCTCAAAGTACTTTTTAAGCACTCAAAAAATATTTTTAACCGCTATATACTCGAACATTAACAAAATGCAAAATAATTTTCAAAGACTTTACATGATCATGATAAAATAACTAGTTTCAGACAAAGAGCTTTTTCTTGATTATATTAGCCATTATAAAATGATCAAGAGATTTTTTTTCAGTTCGATATCAGGGGGTTAAAAATGAAGCCTGAAATTGGGAATATCTTGCAAAATGCAGCAGAGTTGCACATGAGACTGCAAGAATCTCACCGAACCCAGCTCAGTAGACGAACATGCGAATTTCCAAGTATTTCATCAAACATGTAAAATGATTGGTGCTATCATACGTTACGGACTGACGGTGCGCCGGAATGGATTGTGATTGAATCAATTGTGAAAACGTTTAATAGAACAATGTGAAAACCACGCTTTTGCATAATACGCAGCGAAAATCGGCATGGTAAAGAAAAACAAATCTCATTTATGAAAAAGGAAAATTAAGCATTTTTTAAAAATATCCCATGAAAAAAGCACCTTTAAAGGGCTTTTAAAAAACGATAATCGAAAATAAGCAGCTTTAAGCACTTTTTTAAAACTCTACGCACCATGTAGAAATTGGATTACTACTCCACATAATATGAATTATTTTTTGTTACCTACATAAAAACACAAAAAAAAATTTTTTTTTTCAAACGACATAAGCGTAAAACTTTAAAGATTTGGACAATCACGAATATCAACTTAGAAACGTATACAATAAAAAAAAATTGCATTCAGAAAGTTAATCCAGTATTGCAGGATGTCCGGCAATCGACCCGTAAAAAAAATTTTTCTACCCAGTTTTATAGTCACTTACGATAATAAAAATTAATTTTTATTAGTAAATAATATTTTTTATCAATCAATTTATGTTGGTAAATAGGAAAAATTGTTCAACAACTTAAAAAAGTTTATCGTAACATAAAGTCGGACACACATAACAAAGCCATAAAATAAAACTGGTAAACGTACGACTAGTAAATGTAAATAGGTTAACAGAACAATATTTGATTGCGCGAAGAAATCATATTCTCATTTTTATTTCTTTCCTTTCATGCTTCTTTCACACAAGCAATATTTTAAATGAAACACATCACACTGCGATTTACAGTTACACTTTGAATCCATTCATGACCAAGTCAATTATGTCAATATTTTACGTTTTGAAATTAAATTTGGTTAAATCAAATGAAAAATGATCTAATTAAATCGTGTTTGATTTTTTTATTTATCCGCAATAGTTAAAAAAAATATTAAAAATAAAAATTCCGTAATGTTCCAAAGGAAAAAAAATGTCCCCACATTTGTATTCTCAAAAATATTTGCTTAATATAGAAAAATTGACTACTAACTCTTTAAATAACCTAACACTTCTTCCCTCCTTTTGAGAGAAATTTCTTAAGACTATGGGGAAAAACAGTTTAAAAGTTTTTGTTAATTCAAACAATAACAAGGGAGAAAAAAATTTCAGGATTTTAATTTTTCTTGAAACACAATATTCCTTTTCAAAGTGTAGTAGTCATTTCCCAATATATTTTGAAACACCTGCACAAATGAAATTATATAGTTAAAAAAGTCACTTTAGATTAAACACTTTAATTAAAATAAAATAAATAAATAAACTATTAAATTCTTAATCTTCCCTTTCACTAAATATAATATTCCTCTACAATCATGCAACTACAGGGCTGATAAACAATTGAAGTATTTTTAGGTCAATTTTTTGAATTTTATATTCAAAAACTGTCACTTTAAAAGAATAAAAAAAAAAAAAAAAACTACTATAACTCCAATCCCTCAAATCATAAAACATAATTAAACTTACCCTTTATCTCGACACCCGTTGACTTCTTACACTTTCTCATCATAAACAAGCCCATAGCAATCCACCATTCATTTCCATTTCATTAATCCAGGGCATAAAACATGTTTCAATCCAGCAACATCCCACGACAAAAAAAGAAAAAAAAACATAAAAAAACCTACCGACACTCCCCCACGCGGGATGCATTATGAGCTGAAAAACAAAACTCCACAACAACGAATCCATCATGGTTTTGGTATCTGAACTCGATTGTTCACAGAGAGAATGACAATCCAGACTGTTGATAAAGACCCATAGACAGAATGGGAGAGATTACAGAGGATAATGGATAGTATAGAGGAGATTGGCACAGTCACAGAGCTTTCCCGCCCTCCTTGTCAACACTATCATGTACTATTTGTATGAGGAAGTAGACTTTGCAATAAGGGAGAGAACACTGTCAATGATTACAGGGTTGAATTTATGGTAAGGGTGGTTATTATTATATGTGCGTCTTTTAATATCTGTTAACGGTCCATTTAGGTTGTGTAAATTACGGGATGTGACTTTTCATTCATTCATCTTAACGTTAAATATGAGTTTCAGTGCTAAGACACTTGATAAATTGCGATTGTCCAGTAAGGCAGTGAGTAATTATTACTCTGATTAAATTAGGATGGGATATTCATAGGTGACAATAAGTTAAGTAAGGGATTTTTAGCTATATGAGCAATTCTACAAATAAACGCCAGTTAGGCAGCCAAAAAAAAAAAAAAAAAAAAATTAGGGGGCACACTATTTCTACATGAATTTTCTTCTTCTTTACACCCTAGAAAGGCAAGAAAAAATCGTGAACATGAAATTTTTTCTTTGTGACATGCTTTAAATGCGACATACTCTTTCTGACATACTCAGATAAATCTGAGCCATTTATTCAGATAAAACGATTTTTACATAAATATAATATTATTATAATGTCTCTCTAATATGTATTTATAGAGATTTCATACTATAAGATTATATTTTAGTATAAAAATTGGCGTTTATTTGTAGAATTTCTCATATCGTCGCTTTGAAACTAAACCGTGGTAACTCAAAAAAGCAAATTTTTCAGGAGAGCAATTTCTAACTTTCTGCGTTAATGCTGATCGCGCCAATGCGATAACGATTTATCACTCATATCATAGGTTACGGTAAATGAAGCCATCAAAAATAAAAAAGAAGATAAATCTAGCTTCATGTTTCTCAAATCAATCTCTTAACCATTTAAACTATTCCATGGTTATATAATTGCTCTAAAAGTGTTGGAATGTATCAACTCGTGAGTCATGAACACTCTTAGCGAAATATGGGTAAAAAAAAGCATGTTGCCAAAATAAGAATAAAAAGAATTAGAAAAAAAAAGGAATAGCAAGTATATTTGCTTTATGAACTGTATACTACCTCATTTTAATTTTTTTCTCATTCTAGACGGTGTTAAAAGGAGAAATGAGAGAGAAAAAATTCAAAAAATCTCTCACATTGTAGTTGTGGAGGAAGTATGGAAGCAAGCATTCAGATGAAAGGAGGTATAGTAGATTCTGACGAGAGAAAAATGCCTTATAATTAAAGCCCCTGCATCTTGTTACCGAACTCATCAATCATTTAACATAGCGCGTAGCAGAACTCTCATTCCTCTCTTCATTTTATTCCGATTAATAAAAGACAGACTAATATAAGTTCTATATGTGCCTTGCTCACTCCTAACAAATTAAATTTTAACAAACAGAGATCTCTTTAAAGTAATTCTTTCCTTTGAAGCCATTCCTTTCATATAAAAAAAATATAAATAAAAGGTAAAAAAGAGATTGTTAAAAATTTGATATAAAACTAGGATCAAATTCTTTTTCCTCACAATCATTAATTGATTTTGGTTATTGAAATACAGATAGACAAATAAATGTAAAATTTTAATTAGAATTTACTTTGACCAAATTATTTCAATTTTTTAAAGCCAAAAAAAAAAAAAAAATTGTGATCTCCTTATTGCGATTACTGGTTACCCATTCGTCAAATGCTATTTTTTTTTTCTCCCTCTTAATTGACTCCGATAAAAACAACGATATTTCAAATCACAAATTATGGATTGCAAAAACTGTCTCAATTGATATTTGTCCTCTTGCCGTCGGATCCTGCCAATATATATACAGAATATACTGGTTTAAAGGAAGTAATTCAATCATTTAGCATTTTAGTATACAGTAAAAAAATACGGTAAAAAGTATCAGCACTCAGGATACCGGCACTTTTCACCGTAAAATCCGTATTTACTGGAACGTGTTACGGAACAAAGTGCAGGCACTCTGGGTTCATCATATTAAAATCCATTTTCATTAAATCCATTTTTTTACTTTATCATATTAAAATCCATCCACGTAAAATATTACACCGCGATTTTTAATGTAATAATTACTGTAAAATCGGTGAATCACTCTATTTAAATAAACATTACTGTAAAAATTACGGTATAATATTTTACAATAAAAATAGATTTTATGAATCCCAAGTGTCGGTACTTTCTAGTGTAATTATATCTCTAACAAAAGTCATGGAAAATTGTTATTTTGCATGTTCCCTAGATTATATTTGTATTAGTAACTAATGGGCTCCTATAGTACGCTTCGCAAACCGCAAACCAACCTCTAGGGTTGCTAAGAATTTTTCTTCTTTTTTTTAATAATAAAAATTTTCTTATATCAAAATTAAAAAAGTATACAATCGAAAGATCAGGAAATTTGTTATTGTAGTGACACAGTTTCAGTTCAAAATTTCTTTGTAATAAAATTTAAGCAAAATAATTTTGCTCGGTTGAACTGCAGTCTAAACTGCAGTAAACAGGTTGAACTACAATTATTCGAATTTCTGTTCAGTTTTGGAGTAAATTAATAACGCTTAGTTCATACTACTATGGTAAAAATATTTTTAAAAAAATACTTAAAATTAAATTGCAATGAAAAAATAATTCCTGTAAGTTTACAATGTACTTTTAGGATAGTTCTTAAAAGAAGATCGAGGTTGACCGAGTTGCATGAATATCGCATGATATTGAGGTTAAGCATGATAAAGTAAAAGTGAGCGGAGAGTAGTATAAAAGATTAATTATTTTTCTGTACATTTTTTAGTGTAAAAAATCTTTTTTTGCTGTTCAATAAATTACCAAAAATAACTAGAGAAAAAAGAAATTGGCTATGCTACCTAATTAATGCAAAAAATCTAAATACGTTCAAATTACACTTTAGTTTGATTTAAAATTGTTAATATAGAAAATATTAATCATAACATCGAGAAAAAATAATTCAAAAATTTTTTAAAACATTTCTTTTGAAAACTTTTTTCTTTAGACTACCAATTTATTTAAAAAAATATTTATAACTGCGATATTAATTCGTTATTTGTACAAAGTTATTGAATAATAACCTGGGAAATGTTTGAAAAATACTTAAAATTTCAATAATTTAAAATTTAGTATCTACACTGTAAAAACTGTGATGTAATACCTATGGAATTTTGAGGTGAAAAAGTCTGAAAATTGAGTGAATGATTATTATTTTAAGTTAATACCGAATCGAGCGCTCTTACACACTTAAAAGGGTTAATGCTTAACATTAATTAATAAAACTTACGAAGTATTTTGTTGAAGAAGAAAATTTTTTTTCGGAACTCCGACAACTTGGCGAATAATTATTTTATATTTTAACTGTTTAATTGATTTCTTGTGTCAAATGATGGTAGGGCATGTTTTAACCATATAACAAATGCTTTTGGACTTATAATAGAAGTTAAAAGGTGAATAATTGTGCAATTTCAAAATAGTGACAATATGGAGGTCAAAATGGTGGTTTGTTAACATGAAGTACACTAAGGAGTTCTTCTTGTCGAATTGAATTGACAAACTGGTCATAGTCTAGTTAAGCCCAAGTAAGTTTTGATCGCCTTTACTAATTTATCAAGAATTGTGGACGATTATTTACGTAATTTCAATCTTCTTTTCGGTTTGAAAAACTTTTCATATAGGTTGTTATGAAATGCATGTACTTTTTTGTATGATAAAGACATTTATGTTCTCCTAAAATTTACATAAATCTGTCAGTTGTATAAAATGATTTTTAAATATTTATTGAGAAATATCGTATGTATGCATCTCAAATTTATGGTTCTTGCTTTATATTGAATACTGAAAGTAATTTTAATGATTCGGGTGTATCATATGATTATAAATTTTAGCGTTACTAAGTAATAAACATGGTGAGGGTTATTTTTCTCCAAGTAATGTAAAATAACATTCTAGGTGTTTCACTATACCAAGAACTATCTTTGGTGCATTGGAACACTTATAAAACACCAGTTTAGTGCTACGTACCTGCAACCATTTTTTTGTTTTGTTCAGATACACGAAAATTTTCTACAGTGTAAGATCAATAAAAAAACATTGCGTTAAGCATAAATTTTTTTTCTCCAAAATATTAATTAGTAACTTTATACGTAAGAAAATGGCGTTGATATAAGTCACCTTAAGTGATTATAAATGAAATGGAATGCTTTTTAATCTTATAATTTTAGACAGAAATTCGGCTTTTAATTCAACTTAATTTACATATTTGTGGGTATATACTTTAGTACAATCAATCAATTTGGCAGTAACTTTTCCAATAACCTAATACTGGTAATATCTGATTGTTGCTGCAAGCCATGCAAAACATCATTTTTTTTAAAAATTAAGCATTGAATTGAAATTAGTCTTGTAGACACTCATTGCATCGATCTTTGACTTCATACATTCTTCAACTAATGATAATAATAGTAATAAAGTAAATTCAACTGCTATTGCAGTGTGTTAATGTCCGAAAAACTACATCTCCGCTATTTGAAGAACTAATACTTCTCTTCAAACCTTCCGATCCGTAGCTTTCTTTCTATAATTCAGAAGTTATCATAAGTTATATAGCTTGCTTATTATTAGCTTTTATAAGTTCTTAAGTAGCTTTCATAAGTAGCTTAGTTTCTTAAGTAGCCTTCATAAGTATGATGTTGATATAATCAATTTGTATATCTTCACTATTTCGAAATTTCTTCAAGTTCTCTTCCACTGGATTGGATATTATTCGTAGAATCTTCCTTTATCATTCTAAAAGTAACTTATCTTCATATTTTGAAGAAGTTCAAGTTTCACTTCTATGGAGTACAACCGGTCACAGAAACAAATCTAGAATCAAGAAAAAAAAATGTATACTATATATACATATATATATGGATATACATATACAAAAAAATTATATANACCTTGTAGGAAGTAAATTTGAAAGTAAAAGTTAAATTTTTATGGAAGTATTACTATTTC